GTAGGATGCTTACCTTCCACAACGCCTTTTGGACAAGTTGATGTTCATTTATAACTACGTCGAGATGGCTCGTGTGACTGGTGTTCCGCTCTCGTTTCTACTTTCCAGAGGACAGAGCATCAAGGTTACTCCAAAGTTCTACAGCTTATTTCACTAGTGCGTAATATGAGCTAGGTTGGTCGAATATCAACTGAATATCTAATTTCTTACCTTTATGTTCAGGTGCTGTCTCAGCTTTTAAGGAAAGCAAAGCAAAAGAGTCTAATTCTTCCAAATGTGAAACATCCCGGATCTGAACAGGGAACTTATGAGGGCGCAACTGTAAGTGTTCATCTTTTGTTATCTTCTCGAAATATAAAAGATCACAAAAAGTCATATTGGCAAAAGTTGCATTTCATTGATCTCCCTTTTCTTATTACTATATTTTTATGGACGGACGGTGATTATTTGGGGCCTGATACACAAAATTGCTGAAAGGGCTCTGTTCAGAGAACTAGATCTGACTGAAAGCAAACTAGTCAAGTAGCTCTTTATTTTTTTTCAACTCTTATTGCATATAATAGCTTTATTCGATGGTATCGCATATCACCGTTCAGTCATCCATCTCAAACTTGTTGATGGATTTTAAGCTTGAATAATTTTCGCTGTTTGAGCTGGTGGGTTTGAATGTTTGCTGGTATTTGACATGAAAAAGATTTTCATTGAAGGGTTAATTTAATATGGAACTAATTAATCTCAGCAAGTATGATCCTTTTACCAGATTAACTTAACGGTCAACTTTTACAGTTTTTAAGGTTTCCAGAACTTTACTGCCAAGTCATGTTCATGCTAATTTATGCAAGCTCCAGTCGTCTTTTTATTATTATTCCAAAGATTTTGGCAGAAGCTTTTAATAATTTCCATATCCTGCTGACTTGTAACTTCTTAGAAACTTGCTGTCTGTGTTCTCTTAACATTATTTTGTGCTGAAACCAAGTCCACAGCTGTGTGGTCTAGAATGTTTCATGTTATTCGGTTCCACAATTTTTTTGGAATGGAGTTCCTATTTTTCTCTCTTGCTGTTCATCATGACTACGATTAAAAATGCTCTACTGCAATTTCTGTGCATTATGATATTGTTTTCTCATAAGAGGGATTTCATATGCAGGTTCTTGAACCCAGAGCAGGATTCTATGAGAAGCCTATTGCAACTCTGGATTTTGCATCTTTATATCCATCAATTATGATGGCATATAACTTATGCTATTGTACACTGGTAAAAGCATTTTATTTTCAGTCCTCCATTTTCCTTTTTTTTCTTTTTTCTCTTGGGCTGGAAAGAAAAGTTGGTTAAGTTTAATATCAATCAGAAGAATGAAGTAAAATGAAAATAGTCATCTTCCTCGAGATATCTGTTTACTCCAGATGTATATTTACTATCTCTTTGTGATTATTACATAGGTAAGTCCTGAAGATGTTCATAAGCTTAATTTGCCTCCGGAGTGCGTCAACAAAACTCCATCTGGTGAAACTTTTGTCAAATCGAATTTACAGAAGGTTTAAAATTCATAAGATTTCTGCAATTTTGTTATTTCTCATCATTTTCGGGAGATAGCAATAGATGGGGGGTTTAGTAGTGCACACGTTTTGTTTTCTTGCCTTCTCTTAATAATTTAGTTTCACTACAGGGAATACTACCTGAAATTCTTGAAGAACTTTTGGCAGCTCGTAAAAGGGCTAAAGCAGATCTGAAGGTGCTCAAGTTAATTATTATAACTGTTTTACTTTGTAAAACTTCTTGTTGCAGCTTGACATAATTTAATGTGATCAATGACAGGGACTTGATTTCGTGCAATAAGAAATTTCGAAATACGTAACCTTTCAGGGTTTATAAGTCTTACTATTTCAGCAAAACTAATGCGATGCACAAATAAACAGCAAAAAAGTGAGATTCTAATTGACGTGTGATTTATTAAGACCCCGGAAAGCAATAATTACTATCTTGGATACATTTGATATTACTCTCAACAGTTGCTATTTATTTTGGGTAAACTCCTGTCTGACATAAGGAGATAACATCAATCAATAAAATAGTTTATTATCTTTATTTTCATTTGATAAGTAACTGGAGTATTGATACTGCTTCCACATTAATTATCTTTTGGAGGTAAACTATCCTGAAGATAAAGAACACTTTTGGACTGGTAACTAATAATGCACAAGTTATTTTTTGTCGTTTTGTAATGATTGTTAATGAAACGGGATGGATATATCTGAAAACACTGGTACCCACCCTTAGGTGTGTACAGTAGACTTGTCATTAATCATCTAAATTGTCTTCCTATGGTTGGTTATTGCATTGGACTATAATGCTTCATAATGTCCAGAATTTGCGTTTATCATGCTTCAATTGTAATATCCTTTATAAATTTAAAAAGCTTGTTAATTTGTTGGTTGAAGAAACACTTCTGAAGGTGAACTTAACTGTACGGTTTGAAATTTAGGATGCAAAGGATCCTCTCGAAAAAGCTGTGTTGGATGGTAGACAACTCGCTCTGAAGGTAAGGTTATTGTTTTTTTTAATCTCTTTTATGTATTTTTTTTTTTTTACATATTATCATGTGTCGGCTACTTTATTTGGCTTGATATTAACAAACTTAAAGTGTTGGAGTGATCCATTTTCTCATGATTTTTGCAGATAAGTGCAAATTCTGTCTATGGTTTTACTGGAGCTACAGTTGGTCAGTTACCTTGTTTGGAGATATCTTCAAGTGTTACCAGCTATGGTAATAAATGATAAATCGCATGGATGCATGACCTGGACTTTATTTTTTTAATTAATAAATTTGATGCAATTCTGCAAATGTTATTTAATCTAATGATTGATCCTCTTACCGAAGGTCGACAAATGATTGAACACACGAAAAAACTTGTGGAAGATAAATTCACTGTGGTTGGAGGTTACGAGCACAATGCTGAGGTATATAATATCTATAATCATTCTCTTGATGAAGGCATTTCATGTGCATCAAATGATTATTAATATGCTTATTTTATGTTATTTAACCATAAAGTGATATTTGTTTAAATGATTGTATTTTAATGTCAGGTTATATATGGAGATACAGATTCAGTTATGGTGCAATTTGGTGTGTCCACAGTGGATGAAGCCATGAATTTGGGTAGGGAAGCTGCTGATTATATTAGCGGCACTTTCATCAATGTAAGTTAGCTTTCATAAAAGCTTACTTTGTTCTTTTTTGGGTCTTTCATTTATCACTTTATTTAGACACATCAACAAACAAGTAATCGAATATTCTAAAATGGGCGACAGGAGCTGTCCTCTAGTTAAAGCTCTACACAATGGGAACTTGCTTCTTTACATTGTTTAGCAGATCAAGCAGCTCGCTATATTTGTATCTAACTTCTCCATAGCTGAAGTTTTTTATTATTTTTTGTCAATCTTGTTGAGATTGCGCCGAAGAATGTTTGTTGTTCATTTATCAGGTCCTATGTTTTTTACCTTATGTTCATGTATATATTTATCCATGTCTGTATACCTCCCCCTCCACCCATTTTTTCCCTCTCGCTGCATCGTTCTTCCCTTTTTCTTATTGTTTTGTGTTCTTATTACCGCCATTTTCTGTTGTCAGCCCATGAAACTGGAGTTTGAGAAAGTCTACTATCCATATCTACTAATTAGCAAGAAGAGGTATGCGGGTCTTTACTGGACGAACCCACAGAAATTTGACAAGATGGAGACCAAAGGTGAGCAAACTTGCACATTTTACTTACTGTCTGGAAATTTAGCAAAAAGATTAATATTTCACCACACCTTCAGTGCCTAAAACTCACTTAAATATTGAAGTAAGTAATTAGTAAACTATTTTAAAAGTTATAATAACTAAAATAAACATTGTTTTCCTTTGTAGATATTATCTCACAATAATTGAAGGATAACTGATATCGTGGTTTTTTTTTTTCTGTTCTCAGGGATTGAAACTGTTCGAAGGGATAACTGTTTGCTGGTAAAAAACCTGGTCACCGAATGCCTAAATAAAATATTGATAGACAGAGATGTTCCCGCTGCAGTTCAATATGTCAAGAACACAATCTCAGATCTCCTTATGAATCGCATGGATTTATCCCTTTTAGTTATCACCAAGGTAAGAAACTAGCAAAAAATGTCCAACTATATATATTTTTTTGTCAAAAATATATATAGTTGGACATTTTTTGCTAATTTTTTAGTTCTTAATGTGGTCGGAATTCTTGCTAATTCCTTTTTGACGTTTTTTTCTCGTGCACTGGCATTCCTTTTTCACTAGGGTCTGACAAAAACAGGAGAAGACTATGAAGTGAAAGCAGCACACGTTGAGCTTGCAGAACGTATGCGAAAGGTTGGGAATGGTTTTTTTTTTTTTTCAATTTTTTCAATAGAATTAATTACAACTAAAACCAAATTTGCAATGTGATGGAGAACGCTTCAAATTCTCTGGATCTTGTGGTTTCAAAAACTTTTCAACAGTATATTTTTGTAGTAATATATATGCAAGCAATTTAAAATATCTGGATGCTCTGCGTACTTTATGACTAATAGAGAGATGCTGCTACTGCTCCAAATGTCGGTGATCGGGTACCTTATGTCATTATCAAAGCAGCAAAAGGTGCCAAGGTAAGCTTCTCATTTGTCTATATTTGTTTAATTTCCTGTAAATCGATGCAAATAACCTTAATATACATACTGATGGTGAACAGGCATACGAAAAATCGGAGGACCCCATCTACGTTTTGGAAAACAACATTCCTATCGACCCCAATTACTACCTCGAAAATCAAATTAGCAAGGTCTGTGAGGCAATTTTTGTGGTTTTCCAGCTTATGCGGATATTCCTGTAAGCTAATAATAATATTTTTATTTGCAGCCATTGCTGAGGATCTTCGAGCCCATTTTGAAAAATGCTAGTAAAGAGCTTCTTCAAGGAAGTCATACACGGTCAATTTCCATTTCTACCCCGTCAACCGGTGGCATCATGAAGTTTGCTAAAAAGCAACGAACTTGCCTTGGATGCAAGGCTTTGATTAGGTATTAGCATCTTCCCTGTTTCATTCACGTGTCAGTTACTCGTACACTTAAAAATGTACGATACTGTTTCATTTGTTCTCTTTCCATTTTTAGCGATGAAATATGCATGTACGGTTAACTCATCAGACCGATTTTCTACTCTTTTTTTGCATGGATCGATGTCTGTAACACATCTCACTCACCGACACTCTTCTTTCGCATACAATATAAACAATTAACCATTTATTGTAAACCCTGTTACAGTAACTCTGATCATACTCTATGCTCACACTGCAAAGGAAGAGAAGCTGAACTTTATTGCAAGTCTGTATCTAACGGTATGTAAACTTCTCTTTTACACGTCTTTGTTTGATGGTATGTCTCTTCCGTTTACGTAAAAGTAGCCATGCAACATACGTGAAATTGCGTTTCATTTTTTTCAGTTGCTGATTTAGAGGAGCTTTTTGGTCGGCTATGGACGCAATGCCAAGAATGCCAAGGCTCTCTTCATCAGGATGTGCTTTGCACTAGGTTAGTAGATATGTCGTCATTGCCTTTAATTTATTTGTTACCTTTCGCTTCACAAATATTCCCGTTGTTTCAGCTATTATATAACTCCTGAATTTATTTATAGTAATCCTTTTAAAAGGGCTTTGGTTATTTGGTTCTTAATGAGTGCATATCTTTATGTATATATTACCAGTCGAGATTGCCCAATATTTTACCGGAGGAAAAAAGCACAGAAGGATATGGCAGAGGCCAGGGTGCAACTAGAGCGATGGAACTTCTGATCTTGTAACAAGGTTATTTTACGGTGCCTCATTCGTAAAGGACCTGTTGTTTATGATTTGTGCCGTGTTTTGTACGTGTCGCGGTTCTTAAACAGAGGGGAAAAGCACATGTAAGGAGATCTCTCTTTTTTCTTTGTGAATCTTTTGTACATATATTTTTCCTTTAAAATATTATTATTATTGCTATTTTTCTTTCTTCTGAATTTACTAAATTAGAAAAAAAAAAAAAAAAAGTCAACTTCGGGAAAAAATCAGAAAAAAGTCATTGACATTTTCATTTCCCCTTTCTTTTTTACTGCCTAACAAAACCAATGAAATTGATTTCCCATAATAGCCCTACTTCTGAAGTTTAACTTATTTGAAGGCCTTCAATCCATAATTAGATAAGTTCAAATATTAAATTGCCGGGTCATTTTCTCTGCATTTTTTAGTTTTGAATCTGATTTAAGTGTCAGAGGTTTTTTTCGGGACCAAGACTCGGCGCTCTAACGTGTGCTTGTTACGTAGTTGGCGACCCTCTTATTCAATCGACGAGTATCCGTGAATTGTCCGTAACTAATTTGAAAGACAGACTGAAGTGACAAGAGTTCACTAATTTGAAATGAAAATTTTATAGAAGCTGTATTTATATTGATATTCTGTATTTGCGATTAACTAACTAAAACAAAGAATTGAAAACACATTTCTATTTGATTCAAAATCATGAAAATTGTAATATACTAAAAAAAAAAAAAAGGTTACTACGAAAATGAGTAGTGGCAGGCGGTTCAAGTCGTGGCATGAGCTGTGGTTGAAGGCGGCCCCGTGCGAAGCAGCAAAATCTCACTACTGAAGACGACCAAGCATGAATAGAGATGAACAACTTTTAATTATAAAATGATCATATTTTGCAATCTAATCTAGGGGTGTAAATTTGAACCTAATTTTCGATTTTCGCCGATTTCAAATTTTCCCATTTTGAAACAATATTTTTCAACCCAAATTCCGACTTTCCGATTTTCGATATTTCCGAAATATTTTGGATTGGAATATAAATGTACAGGACAATTTGATTTCGATATTGATTTTAATTTCCAAAGAATTCTAAAAATTACGAATTTTTTTCCTCAAAAATTAGATTTTTTTTTTATTTGAGGAGAAAAACTTATATTGATCAGTCAAAATTAGCAAAAAAGTCTGGAAGAGATGAACCTTCCGAGCAAAGAGAGACGAAATTCGTGGCGAGAAGGTGGGCTAAAGCATTGCTCTTACGTCTAATAAAAGAAAAACTACAAGTAGAAAATCTAAGAGAAATGGAGAAACATTCCTCAAGGTAGGCTCCATAAGAGGCAGAGGTTACCTCACCTAACTCGAAGCATTAATAACTTGAAGTTTATCGCCTTCGAATACAACTGATGGGAGGGAATCTGAAACAGCGCGCTAAGGAAAATTTCGACTTTTGGGTGGAAGAGGGAGGCGCTAAATGAAATTCTAATCCCGGCTCGAATCACTAGAAGATAGCACGACCCGACCGAGAATCTGCCATTCGATCCGAAGTGACGCGGAACGGAAGCACGGTAAAGAATTAATTTATACGAATTAATCCTATAGAACACGATAACTCTGGAATCCACATGATAATTGAGAGAAAACTCAGAATTTGAAAATAAACCCTAGAGCAACTATTTATACTAAAAAAGAAAACGAAAAACCCTAATCAAACTAGGAGAACGAGAAAATTACCAAAAAAGGCAAAAAAAAAAAAAAAAAAAAAAAAACGATATAACTCCTGAACCTAGTAGAATACCGAAAATTGGAAACATCCCAACTTGCTGAATTCAAACCGATTCTTCTAGAATTAATTATGAATTATTTAAATATTTCCTAAAATAGCAAAAACATCGTTATGAAGGCCTAAATGACCTCGAAACGCCAAAATCCATCGCACGTCAGAGCAATGTGTGTTTAACTCCCCTCGTTCCGGTTCGAAAAAACTTGGCCCCACACAGTTCCGGCTCCGCCACCTCTGCATCACGAAGAAGTAGAGCTTCCAATAGGGATATTTAGGATGCAATTTCGATCAATGAGCCAAAAAAAGTCCTCGGCGATTGGAATGCTCTAGGAACGTGTACCGTTGTCAATAAGGTCCGCCACTCTATCCGGGGATGATGAATCGAATAATTCCCTCAATCTTTGCGTCTTGCACCAGCCAATTCCCCACGGTATCCCGTAGTTTGTCCACACGATTCACTTTACGTCTCGCAGAGGCACGTGTATGGAAAAATATGTATTTATGTCCCCCTCTTGAATCCACTGAATGCGGCTCTGTTGTTTCCAATACTTATCCTTGTCACCATAAAGTGTTTCCAATTGGCATTTCAGAGCGGCAATTTCCTCGTGGATTTCCGGAGATTGCATTCCTGACTGAAAAAATTAAACTTATAATACTTATATTATTATGTATTTTATATTTAGATGACTAAAAAAAATGAAATTTCTCGAATTCCGCCGATTTTGATTTTGATCCAAAAGTTTTCGATTTTCGATTTTACATGCAATATTAAAAATATTTATAAATGTGAATGAATTTTACGAAAACCAATATAACAAAATTAATCATCATTCTCACCAATTCTCTGAATGTTAATTATTTTATTTGTTCATAAAAATTAGTGTTTGAAACAATTCAAATGCAATAAGGACAAAAATATTTTAAAAAAATGTTTAATGTATTATTATAAAGTGATATATAACGCAAGATAAATATTTTTCGTCCAGAGGAACGAATAATAAAAAAATGGAAGATTAATGTAAAATTGGAAGAGTATTTATTTATATAATGAAGGATAATTTAGTAGTTCATTAAATAAAAAAAATAATAGGATGGGTCAAGAAAAATGACTAATTGGATAAATTATTACTAATATTTTACATACAAAAATAATTGTTGGGACATTTTAGTGATATAAGCTTTTAAGGAGTTAAATGCAAAAACACTCACCGTGATTTTTCTAAAAGCTAAAAAAACCCTCTTGGTCAAATTAAGTGACCAAAAACCCCCTGTGATTAGCAGTCAAAATTCAAAAGTCATACACCCCCTCTATCTCGTGCGTGTCATTCACGCGCTCCCAATACGACAACTTCTGCGTTTTTTTGTGTGAAAAGACATAAGTGCCCCTCCATATCTCTCTTAGTTTTTCCTGTTCCATTTTAAACCAACAAATTAAAAGAATACATACTAAATATAAATAAATTAATTAAAAAACAACAAAACAAAAATAATAAAAAATAAAAAGAAAAATAAAATTTGGAATTTCTTCTTCCCGTCAAACTAGCCACCCCAAATTCATCTTCTTCACCCATCTCCTTCTCCGACATTGCCATCTTCTTCTCCGACGTTGCCCAGCGACCGCCGCCGCCGCCGCGAGTTCAGATCTTCTCCAACGTCGCCGCCAATTCCGGCGAGCTCCACTTCGCCGAGTTCTCCGACGAATTGCAAAGCCCACCGCAAATCCTCTCAAAATCGTTCTGCTGCCGCCGCTGAGTGAGAGTCGAATCGGTGAGTTGTGTCTATGTGAGCTGAGAAATCAAAATCGAAGTGTGCTGTGTGCGTTGCTGTATTTTTTTTTTAAATTGGAGAAGAGGGCTTAATTGAAAATGTTAGGGACTGAATTGAAAATTTTGAAAATTTCATTTGAGTCATGAAATTCTAGAGGCTGGACATATTTATATGGAGGGCTTTTTTGTCTTTTAGCGAGCGGTCAACGGACAAAAATAAAAAAAGGGTCGAGTGTGCTTGATTGAATTTTAGGTTTTATTTCTTCTCTTTGGGTGAACTGCTTTAACCCGGTGAACTTTGAGGATTAAGGACACGATTTTAACTAAAAATAAGGTGTATTTTGTGGATTATTTGACAATTTTTCAGAATTCGTTCAGATTAGAGAATTTTGATTTTAGGGGTTTATGCTTAATTTCAAATAGCAGGTGTAATTTTTTGCATTGCAATATAAATAGCTGGATTTACTTTTGAGTGAACACTTTGTAATCTGTTTTGAGGTGGTTGTAAATTGCCCATGAGTTGTGGCTTTTTGGCATCTTTCAATTTTGTTTTTTATTTTTACTTAAAAAAAATTCTAGGTTTTGTATCGATTCCGTGTTCGGTTTGTTGGAACACATTTGAAAGGTGCTTTGATATGATGATCTTGAAATACTCTTCCGTGTCCTTTTGTGGTTACTTATTGAAATTACAATTACATGTTATGTGAATTGTGATTTGTCTGATTTTGGATTTTGCTACTCGGAATAAAAATTAGGGATCAAGAAAAATATTTATTTGGAATTTTATCATGTGGATGCATATCTGGGAAAATTCAATTTGAAAGCAAAACCTAATTATTCCTTTTGTGTTGTTGAAATAGTTGATAAACTTACTGGATCTTATCTATTTGTTAATTTTTTTTACAGGTAATCGACTCGAAAACGTGGAGGAATTTTTGAGCACGCAACAATCAAGTAAAAAAAAGGTATGGTTTGTGTCAACTAAACTTGAGAAATCTAAATAGGCTCTCGTTTATTGTCCTTCACATTATTTCCCATTTCGAAAATTACATCTTGATTCGTTATCTATATCCTCTTTGTTCTCGTTTGAGTTTTGTGAAAATCTTAACTGTGCCCTGAAATAGTGCTTGTCGGCTAAAAAAAATTGGGAAAAAATGCATGCTAGTATTGTTTATATAACACACCTATTTGGGAAGATTTTCCACCATATCTAATTGCTGGACTAGGTCAATGAATATATGGGGAGAGGATTATGCACACGATATGGAAAAAAATGATCTATACATATGGATTTGGTTTGTGGTTCTTGGTTGTTTTTGCTATTCGAGAAAATCTGATTGTTTTCATGATTACTGTCTTTCAATTGATTTTTTTGCCTTAAGTTTGTCTACTTACATACACTTTCTACTATTTAATTCATGTCTGAAACATTTTTTTTTTTTTGCATCATAATTAGTTCATTTTTTTTAATTTTGATTTCTTTGGTTGCCCTGCTTGGGTTTAAAAAAAATTATCAGTCACGTCATGATCTTAATTGGGCGTCTCAATGTCATCTTTACCGTTTTCAACAGCTTAATCTTTGTGTTTTCATAATTTGTTGATAATTTTTTTATTTTTCGTGTTTGATGTTTTTCATACATCTGGGGGTAAACGATACCTTTCCCATAGTACAGGGGTGCAAAATGAATTTTATCTTAAATAACACATTAGAATTGTACTGGATTTTCGTTATTTAACATTGAAAGCCCTAATTTCATCGTTGAATCCACAGTGAATTTCGAGATACTAGTGCTGAAGTGAAGGAGAAAATGGAAAATTCTCGCCCCTGCCAGAGTTGCAGAAAGAGAACTCTAGTCACCGATTATGAAACAGGCAATAAGGTATGTTCATCATGCGGTGTTGTTCAAGAGTTCGATAATTTCCAGGCTCACATTGGCGGCATTACTGGTGAAACCGGCACCTACATTCATATCGGCAAATCCGGCGCCGGCTCTGTCAATAGCTACAAGGAAAACAAGATTTACGAAGCCGAGAAAGTGATTGAGGATTTGGTATTCAAATTAGGGCTTTCGGTTGCTAAATCTAAGGAGGTCAAGTCTTTGATCGAGAAAATCACCGGTGCAGAATATGGCCAAGGGAAATGGTTCCCGGTTTTTGTCGGGGCTTGTGCTTATGTTGTAATGAGAAGGGATCAGAGGATCTTACCTATTGTCCAAGTGGCAGAGTCAGTTTCTTGTGACGCTTATGAATTAGGTCGAATGATCAGTCGTGTGGTTGATTTTGTTGATTTGAAGCTGCCCGAGTTTGATATCGTGTATGCTTTCGAATCCGCAATTAAGAGGTGCCCGAGTTTCGGCAAAGTTTCAGATGATTTGATCAAGAGAATGTTGCAGCAAGGTGTTTTCTTGTTGCAGTGCTTGATCAAGTGGTTTGTGACGACGGGTAGGCAGCCCATGCCTGTGGTGGCTGCAGTCTTGATATTTGTTGCCGAATTGAACGAAGTACATGTGAAGATTGATGACGTGGCGAATGAATTGCATGTTACTGTTAGTACATGTAGGCGTAGGTATAAGGAGCTTACGGAGAGGCTCGTGAGTGCCGCTCGTGTTTTGCCGTGGGGGAAAGATGTAACGGTGAAGAATATTTTAAAGAACGCTCCGAGTGTCATTCAGTACATGGAGATGAAGTCGATGGAGAAAAGTCAAAGTCAGAGCCTTGAACTTTTTCAGTACGATATGGAAGGATTGGTCGGAGACTGTTTGAGGAAAGATGGATACGATAGCCTCACCAGGGAGGAAGATTGTAGCACAAGCTATTTGAATCAGAGAATTGATTATCCGGATAAATTCCAGATTTCTCACGAATCTTTGTCCGTAATTTATTCCGATTTCTTGGATGAGATTTCGTTGGTCAAGGCCAATGCAGAGATTAGTACAAAGAATAAAAGAAGGCGAAAAAATTTCGACATTCGATTATTATGTACGGATTGGTGGAAAGGAAAATCGGAGTTGAGCAAAAAGCTTGTTTTGAAGCAGATACTGGAGAAGGATGTGGGATTGGATGCTGCGCCTCCATCTTTCGAAAAGGGATGCTTAGCTAACGGAAAAAGACGAGAAAAGATAAAATCTGCAAAGTTACGAATACAGAGAATCATGGATCCGACAAACGCCGAGAATGCTTCTTTGTCTGGGCTTGAAAATTCAAGAAAGAAGAGAAAAAAAGTGCAGGTGGATATTGACTGGGAAGATTTGATAATTGAAACTCTGCTTCTTCATAATGTAAAGGAAGAGGAGATAGAAAATGGGCATTATAATGCACTCATGGCTTTGCATGTTTTTGACTCTATGAATTCATGATTACTTAATTAATTTATTTATTTATTGTAATTTATTTTTATTTTTTTGTTCAATAAAAATTCGGCTCCAAGGAGTTTATTGATTTTAACCTTGTTCGGGGAAATTCAGGAAAAGTTCGAACTTTACATCGATCTACAATTTTTCATAATCAGGTAACAGAAAAGGCTCCATACGTTTTAAATATGAAAATAAATGAGAAATTCAGGATAAAAGACAATCTTTTTTTTTTTTTTTTCTTCTATGTAATAATGTATTTAACATCTCTATTGAATGTATTTGATGGCTCGGAAACGGAACGATCTTAGTCGTACATCTCGGCCCTGTATTTGATTTCAGGGTTTCGAATATTATCTTGACTTTGAATCAAACGAATCTCCAAACTGCTCGACCGGCAATCATGTCCAGCCCTTGTATAATCATTTATTGTCCTAACCAGAAGTGCCTGTGACCAAACAAATATTATTTTTCAGAACGAAAAAAAGAAAACGTGTAAAAAAACGAGGTAAAATAGTTTCTGCTCTGTTTGGCACCGAGTATAGGATATATATATTGATGAAATAATCAGCACCTAGATACCAACAAAAAGCAACAGAAATACCTGCAAGCTTGATACAGACAACTCTGCTGCTTTGCCGAGGTTGTCGGGATATTTCTGTATAAAAAGAAAATGAAAAAAAAAAATTGAATAAGAAAGTGCTCACGACAACATGTAATAGATTGATTAAGGTTTGCCCAACATTACATTGCTCCATCCAAGCAGAAGTGCGGTCGTAAGATCCCCTGTTCCCTGCAAGCCGTAAATACAGTATGGAAAAAAAATTATAAATAAATAAAGCAAGCTAAAGACATAACAATTGCTTGTATTATTTTCCTTGACCACGTTATAACATTCAAGAACCGACAACAATGTACAATCTTATGAGGCGGTAAAGTTCAGACAATGGCATACCGTGAAATATGCAGGAATTTTGGGGATTGAAATCCGGAACTGCACAGGAGGTTGACCCTGTCATAGTCAAACTTGTTCATTTACGAATGTCGATATATATATACATACATATATATATATATATATATATATATATATATATGTGTGTGTGTGTGTGTGTGTGTGTGTGTCTGTGTGTGTCTGTGTGTGTCTGTGTGTGTGTGTGTGTGTGTGTGTGTATTTGTATTTCTGTACCTTGTCTTTATGATGGCTGCCAAGTAGAAGAAGATCGCCATCTATATTTATGCTCGTAATAACAACCTGAAAATACAATGTAAATGTTGAACACTTTATATAGAATAATAATTTTAAATGGAACGAGATCGAAACTTATTTTGAAGATTTAAATCAAGAGACAAACTTTTGATGGTCCGGCAGAATGAAGAGTGTTGCAAGCTTCTCTCCCGTCTTGCTCCGATACAATCCTGACAAATTATAACACATCAATAACATATGATCATAAAGAAACAAATTTGTATTTATAAATTGTTTTAGATAGAGGAATATACCTGAGACCCGTTAACAATTCGGCCTCGAATTGATTTGGAGTCAACATAGAAGCAACAGGTAAAACCTATTGAGAAGAGGCAATTACCAATTTTACCATCAGTTGAATCTGACAACGGAAGAGCAGTTATATAAAATATTAAAATTTATCATAATATTCAATCGAAGAAAGCCATAATATATCACTCCTGGCATGCATAAACAGACATCAAAACATTAAATAAAATAAATAAATAAATAAAAAACGTCACTTTCGATTTCTCAAAATTCTTTCCCAAAACCAAATGGAAATCGACCCCTAAAATGTAACCAAAACTACCTGCTCTTACGGATTTTATAATGCTATCGTAACTTGCTAATTTTATTTTTAAATCATTGCAAAATTTTGTTTTCTTCCATCTATCCGTTCAATTAAATAAACTCAAAAATCAGACTTCATTGAACTAGACCCCGATCAAGTTGATAAATTCAACATCGGCTATCTTAGCGAAAGAAAAATCTACTTCCAAATAGAAAAAAGAAATACCTTCTCACGGTATACAGATACCAATTCCCGAGGGACATAGAGTTTTCCTTCGTCGCCCAACACTGGATCGCAAACTAACAAGAAAGGCTTGGTTAATTTATATCTGGCCTATTATATGTTATCATCAGTCGTAAAATTGGGAGCCGTAACTTTCTTGGCAAAGTTAATAGTATAAACGACAACATTAGCAGCTCTTATTAGAATATTTACCATATGTAAGTCCGGGGTTGATAGATCTAAGCTTATCGACAACTTTTAGAACAGTGTTCAAAAAGGAAACGGAGCCAATGTAACCTACAATGCACCACGAATTGTGTCACAACAAATTTAAACGTTCGAAAAGAAACAAGCATCCGTGATCAATAAAATAACAACGATGAAATGAAAAGGTGAAATATATTTTAATATTATCAAGATCGTATTTTCAGGTCAAAAAAATAAGCTGCTTGTTTTAACTAAAAAAATAATAAAAAAATTAATGAATCCAGTCGAAAACAACTAAGATTCGACTTAGAAGGATCATTGTGGATACCTGTAAGTAGATGTGTATAGAACAATAAATTATTAGCTTCGAGGCCCTCAATCAGTTCCCAAAGTTGGTCTCCATTCAAAACCTGGCCCTTAAAAGTAGGGTACCCTGTGTGGTTCGAGAACTGAACTGAATTAATCGGGTCCACATCATACCCGAGTAATTGTAGAGGAAAGATGGCCGATTTGTTGCCCACGTATCCCTATTGTAAAACAGAAAAGACTTAGAGCTCATTCAACCAACTGTTTTGTACTCAAAAATCATACTGAAAACATAATAAACAAAGACGATCTTTGCGAAAAAGCTAAAATTAATCGCTCACGCGAACACGAGTGCATGCATTCATGAAAATCAATTTTAAGCGTGCGCTTGTGATAGAAAGCAAGTGGTAAATGCAGATAAAACAATTCAAACAAAGAAAAATATATATTTCTTTCGATATAGAAACTCGAGCATCCATCACCTCTTAGAATAATTCTTGAAACATTACTAAATACTAAGGCCCCGTTTGGTTCGCATGATAAGATTAGCCAAGATAAGATTAAATAATATAATGAAACCCAATTATTTTATTGGAGCTCGTGACGTCCAACAACAAAAACTCACTAGAAGGCAAGATAAGCCATGATTACATAATTTTGGCGGGTCGACCCGGCATTTTATTGGAGATACCAAACGTCAAATTAAGTCCGACTATCTAGTTAATCTAATATCCACAACCAAACGAGGCCCAAGTCAATCAAAGTATCGACCGTTATACATCAACCGAAACCGAAACCATATGCAACTCATTTGCCGGAAAAGTAGCATGCAGCATTCAGTCAACACAATAAACATAAGAACTAAACTAAGAAACTTAGAACTGAAATTGCACCTGAACTGTGTGAGACTGAATACTTAGAACCCGACCCGTTTCCGAAGGCAGCGCTAAAGCCAGAATCGGAGGAGGTGCCATAACTGATAACACACTTATTCAAACCCTTCCTCTGACCTAATAATTTCCATTTCAAAAAACCCACAAAATTAAGCAATTAAATGTAAAAATTACAGCACATTATAAACAATTAAATGTACAAATTACAGCACATTATAAACAACTAAATGTACAAATTACAGCAGAACGAGGGGGGGGTACCTGAAAATGGAGAAACTCTGAGTGGGGTTTTGATTGAAGGGCTGCTACATATGAATACAGACTTTAGCATACAAATATATTAGGTTTATAATCTGATTGTGATTCGGTGGATGAGTGACAAGATTTTTCGACAATTCCTGCCAATAATTCAATTAATAATAATAATAATAAATGATTCGCTGAATCAGAGAAATGGATTTGGTGGTTTGCGGGGCTGATGACTGGGTGCTGATTCGGAAGTGTGTGCCCCAATGGCGAGGGCAATTTAGGAAATTTTATTTCATGGATTCATTGATGATGTAATTCGGCTTCTGGTTTTGCGCCATTGCTCCTGGACAAAAAGAAACAGAAGTGAAGAGGATAATCAAACTGTTTGTATTGGAACGAAATTCTTTATTTAGCTTTGTTAAAAGCAAGGTTGAAAAAACTAAAAAGCGGTAATCGGGTTCGAGTTGGTCAGGCACCGACTCACAATTAATCGGTGAGGCAGTGATTAATCGATGATAAATCGGAAATTAATCAGTTTTTAAAATTTAATATAATATATTTCTAAATATTATTTATAAATACTCCAAACATATATAAAAAGATATTTAAACATAGTTATATCTCCATCATGTATATATCCTAATAACATAATAAAAGTTTAATAATCATAAGATCATAATACATAAATATCCTTATAAAATATAAATAAAAAAAATATTTTTTTTGAATTTACATTTATTCTTGAACATTCCTAGCATACATCATTAGTTCTTTAACAATAACAATAAACATAAACAAAATAAGGCATAAACTCATATTTTCTTTTATTAAAATCCAACTTTTATTTTGAATTATAAAAGAAAGAAAAAAAAACCGATTTTTTACCGAGTTTTTTTACCGAGTTTGACCCGCCTTAAAGGTTTGACCGCCTCAGACCGCCTCGGACCGCCTCAGACCGCCTAAAACCGCCTCACAGGCAAGAAACCGATTTTTCAAACATTTACACTAAAATCGTAAAGGTTTTGGACCGCCTCCGTCTCGGAGACCGATTAATCGACCGCCTCGGCCGATTTTTAGAACACTGGTAAAAAGTAAAAGGTGGATTTTTTTCTTTTTTTTCATGATTCAAAAATAAATACCCAAATATTCTGGTTTTTTTTTCCCAATTAATATTGGACAAATTGGAATAATTAATCACCAATTAATGCTACAAAGTCAATATGGAGATTAGATGTAGTGTATGTAACACTGACTCAGAAACTGCAATAAACGGGAAACGGAAAACGGCTTGTTCTAAAAATGAGGATGAGGGAGATGTGTAAATATTAAAAATATAGGAGTATATTTTCAACTATGCCATATAAATTTGTATTTATATATAAATTGTTTTTATATATATTTGATACAAATATATTCAAAAAATATATTATCATCAACTATCAACTTGCAATTCATCATTAAATTATGCACATAATTAGGGGAAGCAACAAAAATGTCTGAAAATTTGTTATTCAAATATATTTCTAACTTTTAGAAATTACAAAATGACCCACAAGATTTCTGGCATGTGTCTTTGAGTTTTGGGCACGAAACGTGTCTAAAACGCAAATACGTTAAGAAGTTAAAGTTCTACGTGCAACATAGTGTAGTGTTTGACGTTGGTCGAGCCGATCAAAGGCTGCGGCTATATGCAAGACTAATTCCACTTGTGCAAGACCAAATTAAAAATTTCAATGTATAAATACTATAATACCCTTATTTATTACAAAAATAAAAAATTCCAAATATGCAAGACCAAAAATTCAAAAACACAAAAAACCCTATCACAAGACCACAAAACCACAAGACCAACTATCATCTTCTCCATCTTCCAAAACTCACAAGACCTTTCTCCTTCCTCCTCCATTAACCCACAAAACCTAGAAATTCAAAATCATCAAAACTCAACAAATCTTACAAAGATGGCAAGTATGGAGTCATAAGACATCAAAATAGAAGATTCTACGATGGAAGAACCCAAGAATGTATGCATTTATGGGTTTTTTTAGCTAGAATATCGATTTTCCAAAAAAAAATCCCGCGCAAACGAATTCGACATGTACAGGTCGAATTTTACAGGTAAAAATCGACATTTAGATGTCGAATTTGAGGTATAAAATTCGACATTTAGATGTCGATTTTTAGGCATAAAATTCGACATTTGTATTTGTGCTACAAATTCGACATGTCAATGTCGATTTTTACCTATGAAATTCGACGTTTTTGTAGCATAGTTTTTCGACACCTTGGTGTCGATTTTTGTTTTTTTCTCATTATTTGTATTTGGTCTTACATGAGAAAAAAAGCCAATTTAATTTATGGGCATACTTGTCATTCCATCTTAATAAAATATAATCTTTTGGAATCTTTCTTTAATTTGGTCTTGCACAAGTGGAATGAGTATTGCATATAGCCGCAGCCCCGATCAAATTAGTACTTTTGAAGGGAAAAAAAAAGTGATTTTGAAAGTGAAAAGCTAATTCCAACTTTGTTTAAATATAAATAGTAAAATCAAATCGAGATAGGAAATTGGAATACAAATTTTAGAATCGGAATCGAAATCGAAATCGGCTGAATTCGAAAAATTCCATATGTTGATTTTAGTCACCTAAGTTATGAAAGGGATAATAGTACTGATGTTATAAGTGTAATTTCAATTAAAAAGAAGGGTAAATTACACACACCCCCGAGGTAAGCTTAAATAATTGTAAGGTCCCTGTGGTATCGATAATTACACTTAGCCCCCTGAAACGTAGTCAAAAACTCTAATGGGATAATGAATTGGATACGTTATTCCGATAGGGTTCTAACGGACTATTGGTGTCATAAAGTGGTGGAGACAACAAAGAGCTATGGGTGATTTTCGAACTGTTAGGGAATGTTAGGGGAGCCATGTTACCCCATAGCTCTTTGTTGTCTTCACCACTTTCTGAAACCAATAGTCCGTTAGAACCCTATCGGAATAACGTATCCAATTCATTATCCCATTAGAGTTTCTGACTACGTTTCAGGGGGCTAAGTGTAATTATCGATACCACAGGGACCTTACAGTTATTTAAGCTTACCTCAAGGGTGTGTGTGTAATTTACCCTAAAAAGAATAAGTAACTTAAAAAAAAATGTCGAAATTATCAGATTATAAACCGGAATTCTTCTAGACTTAATCCCACTTTGTATCATTGAAATGTAGTCTTTTGACACTTTCACTCTTGAAAAATAATAATAGCACTTAACACCCTCAAAATACAATAAATCATTCACAATGCAACATTAATTGAATAATAAAGGATAATTCTTTTTTTATTGGGATTTTTTTTCGGGGTGCAAAATAACAAATTAAATTGATATTTTCTTCAACCTCCAACCTAATTTCGAGCGCTCGAAGTGCAAAAAGATAAAAATCACACTGGATAATTGAAATATTTTCTTACAAAATAAAATCAAATAAACTTTTATCATTAAATTATTCGATTGATAGATTTTTATTGTAATTGGTGGCAAAATTAGGTAGAAATGTTTGGAAGAAAATATGATTTCCAGATAACTTGATTACAAAATAGCTGAAGGATTTTTTTTTTTTTTGTAAAATATTTTTTTGTGATAAAAAATATAATTTTTAAATACCACTAAAAATATTAAATTACCTTTATTAGATTTAAACCTTATGTGGGTGCATTATGCATGATATATTATTTTTTTGGGAACAAAATTCTATTAATTTATTTCAAAGATGCAAAGTAACAAAGTAGTATATTTCAAAGGTGCAAAGTGAGATTGAATCAATTCTTATATCTTTCGATTGCAATTCAAAAGATTTCAGAAAAATCGAATATAAATTCAGAATAAACATATTGTTCCAAGATTAAAAAAAAAAAAAAAAAAAAAATCTCAAATCGAACTCTACGAAGATCGAAAATTAAGTACCAATTTTCACCCATACTGCTAATTTACACGTAATTAGAGGGCATAATTCATAAATATGTTCTTCAATTGATAATTAAAAATTCAATCTCTCTCTCTCTCCACGCTCGATCGTCTTCGGTCTGGAGATTCCGCCGCTTCACTCGCGGCCGCCGTGAAAACAGCCTTCAGCCACCGCTCAGGCCGCCATTGCAACCCCTAGCGCCGCTCATTTTGGTACCCACCCACCCCCTGTAAGATCCCGATTCCAGTATATTACATTTTTTTAATGATTTTGGGATTTCAAATTGGCGTATATTTGCATCTGCAATTACCTGGAAATTTGAAATAATCTCGAAACTCATCATGTTAATTTACCCATTTGCCACTGGTTGATTTTTTGTTTGGGATATTTATTTCTTCATGATATTGATATTCAGCTCTTCAATAACAGAAAATTATCCAATTTGTAGTTTTTTGAGAGAATTGTATAAAAAAAAAAATAAAAAAAATAAAAGTGATTATATAATTTTCGCGCACTAAAATTACAAATTGCATTCATTGGATTATTGTGCATACATTTCTGAAGGTGCACTTGATACAAATGGACTCTCCTAAATGGAGAAAAGTTGCTTATGGAGGAATGCAGCCCGGTTTTGATGACAACCACACCGACGAATCTTTCCTCGAAGAAATGATTATGAACGCTAACGTCGTCAAACGAGACTTGGTCAAGGTGATTCTCGACTCGGTTTCAATCTCGCAGTACTTGTGCATTGTTTCGCTCGTTGTTTTAGTTTGGACTTATACTCTAAGATCCATATTTACCGAAACGTCCCTCCTTTTACTCGATATTATCCTTCTCTGTTCGGGTTTCTTGATTGTTCTTCTAACAGCAAAAAGGCTATCTTTTGACCTGCTCGTCAGTTATTTTCTCAAAACCTCGTTCTTCATAACGGGTTTGTACGTTTTATCGCCCGTTTATCAAACGTTGACTCGGTCGATAAGCTCGGACTCAATTTGGGCACTAACAACTTCTCTCGTCGTACTCCATTTGTTTCTTCACAACTACTCCGATTCCACTCTCGAGTTTACGAATTTCACGAGCAATATTTCTCTCAATGCTTCTATAGTTTCTTCGCTGTTGATCGCTTCGAGGCTTCCGTCGAGGCTGCATGTTTTCGCTATCGTGCTGTTTTCGTTGCAGGTTTTCTTGTTCGGTCCGTTTGTTGGTTACTGCGTAAAGAAGTACTCGTTTCGGTTGCATTTGTGTTTCTCGTTTGGGTTGATGGTTTTGACTCTTTTTTTGGTTTACGGTTTGCATCGGTTGCTGTTTGTTTTGCTGTTGGGTATATTGGTGTTTGTTAATTTGGTGTGCCCTTATTGGCTCATTAGAATTCAAGAGTACAAATTCGAGATCAATGGTCCGTGGGACGAGGCGAAGCTCTGTTTTAACATATCCGAGTGAAGCTGTTCGTTTTTTCACACGGCTTGAATCGGATACTACAAATTTATCGAAAAAGTCGAAAATCGGAAATTATCGACTCTGAGTTGTGGTCTTTTATATTAGTTTCTTGATATTTGTCGCAGCACATGTAATGGTGTCTCTCGGAAAGTTCGATATTATTTTTTTTAGCAGTAGATTTTTTACGGAAGGTAATTTTGTTCTGCGGTGAAACATTGTAGATTTTTTACGGAAGGTAATTATGTATATATATAATTAAAATGTAAGTATTTTATGTAATGAATCATCATAGATTTCAGTGCCATGAAATTATTTGTGAGCTACAAACATAGTTGATCTAGTAAAATCTAATCCATCTCTCAAAAAAAAAAAAAAAATCTAATCCAACAAAGTGAGTGTAATATATTACAAGGATGAATTTCAAGAATGTATGAGTTGGTTAAATATACAGCAGTATTTTCACAAGCACTACTATAAATTTCGACGCGAGACTAAGTAAAATGTATCCTTAAATGCATCGATCAACTGTAAATCTCGACATGTTCTCAACCATAAAGCCGTAGTCGAGTAGTAATAGGTTGCCTGCACAAGGGGCATAACGATAGGGACACTCCGCAATCTTTGCATGTCTGTAAATTTCACAATTATTTATATCAGTAAAATTAGTGAAAAAAATAAACTATGATGATTTTCCATTTTAGACAAAATTAACAAACAGCATATATAAACTCATCTCCATATATATATATATATATATATATATATATATATAGAGAGAGAGAGAGAGAGAGAGAGAGAGAGAGAGAGAGAGAGAGAGAGAGAGAGAGAGAGAGAGAGAGAGAGAGAGAGAGAGAGAGAGAGGCTTACCAGATGACCGCATCCGAAAGCCATGTCCTTTGGATTCGTCAAGCAAATCGGGCATACCTTTATACACAAAGAAATTTAAGTCATTTACAATTGAAACACACACACACACACGGAGAAAACATTTTCGTTTTCTTTTTTTTTTTTTTTTTTTTTTTATGTTTGCAATGGGGTTTTTATAAGGTGACTTACTTGCTCAGCTGACGATCCAGATTCAGCTGGTTCGAAGCTTTTCAAATGTGGGAGCGCCTTCATTGCATTATCGTGCTCGATTACTCCACTAGGAGGAGGAAAAGGTTTTCTACCAGGCTCCGAACCGTATTTTCTTCACAATCGGGAAGAGAAATTACACTTGATGACAACCCTTCGACTATATCGTCTACTTTTTTTTATACTATTTTTCTGATTAAAATAATTAACTGTTAAAGAGTTTATGAACTCACTCTTTATATTGCAGTGTTAATGTTGCTCTGTACTGAAGTGGGATTTCCATTAGAGCAGCTAGTGCAAAAGACGATTCCTTTTTAGCTGCATCTTTTTGCTCCGACATTATTTTCGTGAAGTTGACAAACTGCGATTATTAGATATAATAATAAGATTTAACACCATTTGTTTTTTTTTTTTTTTTCGAACTCGAGCAAAGCTAAAATACCAATGATGCTAAAATAAATAAATAAAAAAATGGTAAAAATTATAGCAACCGCTCTTGAGATTCAATCTAATTACAAAAAGAAACGCCTCGTGAAAATGTTTTTATTGTTGAGAGACAAAAACTAATAAAATATTTTCCAGCAATTAATTAGTTACCGGTGTACCTGGAAATTGTCGAATGCTCGTTGAGGAATGTTATCGTCAAACTCTTGCATGGCATCCCACGGTCCATCCCCAACTCCAACGAGAATTATCGAGAGAGGATATTCGCTGTAAAATGATTGGTATCAATTGTCAAATTACCTAATCGACCCTGTGATTACTTTAAATTACCAAGGCCTTGTTTGGAGAATCGTAATCAGGCTTGAAAAGACAATATAATCTAAGCTTTGTCAAAATGTTCGAGATTTAAAATTTCAAGCCCGCGACTAAAAAACGAGCCCGGGATTTAATTTACCTTGCAGCAACTATAGAATTCATTGTTGCTTGCTCTTGAGGACTTAACCTTCCAGGTGCTGTATCAGGGCTTCTAGTTACCTGATTTAATATATTAGATCATTAATATTGTAAATTAAATTTAAAAATAATATAACATTATGAAAAACGAAATAAATATGACCTGCCCATCTGCGATTATGACGAGGACGTGGTACTGAAAATCGCTCTTTTCGACTATATCAACTGCAGCGTCGATCACCGGTGCAAAAGACGTTGGCCCTATTTATCAAGAAACAGAGTTTATCGTAATTAAATTTTTAAATATATTGATTAAATTATATTAATATACTAAATAATATGATCATTTCATCAAAAAAAAAAAATTAAATATGAATATATATACCTGATAAATTCAAATGCGGAAGAATTATTTTATATCGGGCAAGAGCTTCCTCAAATCCATTACAAGGTCGATGATCGGGATAAAAGCTGAATACACGCTGATCGTGTGTTGTTGCTGCAATGAAAATAAAAAACTCATCGGATTAATGTATAGATAATCTAAAACAAAATAAAAATACATAAATAAATAAAAAGAAAACCGACAATCGCCAAATCCGAAACAAGGTATCAAATTATCCTCATCAAATGGAGACAGAGTTCGCCCGATGATATTAATGGCTTGCTCGTACGGATTAGGTGTTCTCCCGATTGCGTGGAGGCTTCTCCTATTGAAAGAATGCTTCCCTACAAATTAACCACGGTTAAGTCAGTGTTTAAGTCAATGCAGTAACGAAAGCAACGGGTTTTATTTTATCTAAATTAAATGAAATCCACCTGTCCATTCGTTGCTCTTTGTGAAATCAATTCCGAGGATTAAGTTCGACGATTCCAGGCCTGCTTCTCTCAATGCATTGATTACCTGACGGAACACGATTTTTTTTACATAGTGTCGAATTTAAATTTATAATTTTTTTAATTTAAATAATAACATACGAGCGAGTGAAAAGAAAACGATATACCTGGTCCAAAGAGTTGAAGTTGTCGGCAATGTGTGCAGGGTGTTTTTTCTTTCGATAGTTCGTGTTTGTCGAACTTCCGGTCTGATTATGATGATGCTGATGATTAGCGTGTAGCGACCTTCTAGAATGTTCCGGAGATTCCGGTCGGGCGCTAGTACTAATCGAGTGTCCCTCGTACGGTGTAGCCTCTTGATGCGAAAAGTTACCGTACGTTTCGTCGGGTGATGATTCACTGTTCCCCATACTTTGTGAAGGTTTTATATCGACTCGATAACGCACAAGAAAACCTCTGCGCAAACAACGTAAAGTCGATACAATGTTTTCGAGCGAAGCTAACGCATTAAAGATTCATTATATAAACGAAAAACGAAAAAAAAGGGATCGTAATTTGATGAATCAAAACCGACAAGTGTCAATACAATCTCGTTGTTTTCGATTCATTCTTACAAAATCACATAACCCACAAAATCGAAACTATAATTCAAGAATCCCTTTTTTTTTTTTTTCATTTTCCAATCTTTAATTAATTGCCTTGAAAATGATCAGTGTTGCATCATAAATAGGTAATTAAGTCCATCCAAGAACAATTGCCTGCTATACACACACACACACACACACACACACACACACACACACACAATCAACAATTCTAAATCTATAACCAAATAATGAAAGTTACAATTGATGGACACATAAACATCAACATATGCAGGTGAAACATACAAGAATTAATACACACACAGATACATATACATACATATGTAATATATAGAGACTAGAGAGAGAGAGAGAGAGAGAGAGAGAGAGAGAGAGAGGTAGAGAGAGAAAGAAAGGCACCTGTACCTTCTGCTTGTTAGGTATGGCAAAAGGGGAAATATGGGATTTGGAGCTCTGTCTGAAAGTGGAAGCCAACAGGTTTTATGGGTTATTTTTCCTTTTTTTAATTTATAATTTAATTTTTATTTAATTTATGTGTGTAATAAGTAAATAGTAAATGTTAAAGATGACAAAGAAAAGTGAGATACTGTATATACTCAGAGCATCCATTTTTTAAGATTCAGCTGTTAAATGCGTGAACATCTTCTCCTCTCTGTCTTTTTGACTTTTTTTTCAATGATTAAAGATGGTATCAATTAATTAATTAATTAATTTCTTTTAGTTAATTAATTAATTCAATTTACGCACTTGCACTTAGGGCTGTGCATGGATCGGTTTTAACCATCAACCAACCCATTTTCGACCCACAATTTGTGATGGTTAATCAACCATCAACCGACCCATTTAAGTTGGGTCGATAATGTCAACCAACCCATGTATAGTTGGGTCGATAATGGTTTCTAATATGCAAAAAAGTTGGTTAGTCGGTTAATATCGGCCAACCAACTTTATTCACTAATTTATTATTTGTTAATTTTAATTAAAATATTTAATATTTTTAATTTCAAATTTCTATTTTATATCACATTTATTAAATTGTTTAATATTGACCAAAATCCTAAAAGCAATAAATCTAACTTAATTATCTAATTTGAACTATTTTAATTTTAAGACATACAGTCTAAATATTTGGACGATTATTATTTGTTGAACTAGTTATGTTTAATTGCAATATATATGCACGTAATGTTTTGAATCTTTTATTTGAATATTATTGAACTAGTCGCATTTAATTTATAAAAGATATAGCGTTGTAACAAGTAATAAAATATTAAAAAAAATTAAAAAATATTTAGATGGATGACCCATCAACCAAACCACCAACCAACCCATTAAATTGGTTTTCAACCATCACCCAACCCATGTAAGTTGGGTCGATAACGGTTTCCAATATTTAGCAAAGTTGGTTGGATGGGTTGGGTTGGTTTTATGCCTGGTTTTTAACCAAACCAACCAACGCACAGCCCTACTTGCACTACATTATTTTAAATGAATTTAAATTGTACCACACTACCACTAATTAAAATTAAAATTCTTCCTCCAGTGATTTAATTCATGGGGTTATTTGAGATAGACCCTCACTAATTTATGTAATGTGAGATAAGTCCAAATTTTTTTATATTTTTTTTAGTAAAACTCATTAGTTCTAAGTTTCATTTGATATAAACTCAAATAATTAGATTATATTTTCTTTTATCGTTTCAAACCCTAATTATGATTTGTTTTATCTTATTTTATTTTGATTATTATTATTATAATTTTTTTTATTTTTTTCTCCGGCGGTGATCTGGGTGGTCAGCGCCCCGTTAGCTGACTCAACATTAGTTAACTTTAATTAATTGACATTCATTTTTTTTACTTTTATCTTTTCTTTTTCATTTTAAATTTTTTTTTCGACGGCGGATCATCCAAGCTCCGGTTAGCTGACTAAGCATTAGTTAACTTCAATTAGTTGACATTCATTTTTTTTTCTTTTTCATTTTAATTTTTTTTGACGGCGGATCATCCAAGCTCCAGTTAGCTGACTCAACATTAGTTAACTTCAATTAGTTGACATCATTATTACTTTTTTTAATTTTTCTTTCCGACGGTAGGTCGTCGGAGATCTGGTTAGCTAAATCACCATTAATTAACTTCAATATTAGTTGACATTTCATTTTTTTTTTGTCTTTCTTTCTTCTTTGAACATATAATACAATCAATTGATACAACTGAATCAAGTGATTTTAATTTAATTGACTCAACGGAGATGGAGAAGATGGACAAATGATCACTTGAACTGTAACATAATAACATTTGAGAAGGTGTTGTCCTTAAAAAAATTTGATATTATTTTACAGAAAGACAAACACGAGAGACTTTAATCGAAACAAAAAATATTTTGATTCCATCTCAAATAGTAATAATTTACAAGAACTTTTCTCAAATTGAAAAACTAATATTAAATTAAGAAAAAAAAAACTCAAAATAAAATGGTGGAAAAGGACAATTATTAAATACATGGGCATGCAAGAGTTGATAACCGCAAGCAAGTATGCACTAATTTTTCGTCTTCTGTATCGGCAATGTAGCTTCTCTAGAAAAGCTGGTTTTCCGAATTTCTTTTTTTTTTTTTGTTTTTTTGAAACTTAGATTTACTTTTGAGTGAACACTTTGCACTCTGTTTTGAGGTGGTTGTAAATTGCCCATGAATTGTGGCTTTTGGCATCTTTCAAGTTTAATTTATTTTAAAAAAAAATTCTAGGTTTGGTATCGATTCCGTATTTGGTTTGTTGGAAACACATTTGAAAGGTGCATGCTTTGATAATATGATGATCTTTAAATACTCTTTTGTGTCCTTGTGGTGGTTATATTGGAGTTATGATCATGTTGAATCAATCACAACCATACATGTGTCAATAGATTAGTTACTTTGATTAGTTCATTACAGCTAGCTTATTAGTTAGCATTAGTTACATTACTCTTTTAATATCTGTATAAATACTTTACACATGTAATTACTTGATTAACTAATGAGAATACTTTTCCAGATATTTTTAAATCTCATCTTCTTCCTCTGCTCACCTAACATCCATGGCAGTTAGGGTTTGAGCTTCAATATGGTATCAGAAGTTTTCTCTGACTTTTCCAATCTCTGATTTGTTTTCTCTCGTCGCCTATGGCTGCTCGAACTCGATCTCCGGTGGAAGATCCGGTGAGTTCATTTTTTCACCATCCTTCCGATGGTCCGGTATTGGTGCTCGTTTCTCAACCGCTTCAGAATGACAATTATTCTACGTGGTCTCGTGCAATGCTTCTCGCTCTTGAAGTGAAGAACAAACTCGGTTTTGTTGATGGATCTATCATCACTCCTTCACGCGACGATATTCTTTTGTTTAACGCCTGGTCTCGCAGCAACAAGGTCGTAATTTCATGGATTCTGAACGCCGTTTCTAAGGAAATTCAATCCAGTATCCTTTACTCTGACAATGCCAAATCAATTTGGGATGATCTCTTCAGTCGCTTTCGTCAAACCAACGGTCCTCGGATTTTTCAGCTCCGCCGTGAAATTGCCGGTCTCCGGCAGCACACCAACTCCGTTAACACATATTTCACGCGATTGAAAGCTTTATGGGATGAAGTCTCTTCTTTTCGCCCTCGTTGCACATGTGGTGCATGCACTTGCGGTGGTGTTGCTCGGCTGGACGATTATTATGCGCTTGAATACACTATGACATTCCTCATGGGTTTACATGACTCGCTTCAATCTTCTCGTGTCAAATTCTCCTCATGGATCCGCTTCCCCCTATTGGCCGAGTTTTCTCCCTCGTTCACCAAGAAGAACGTCATCGTTGCATCACTAATTTGATGCCTTCCGAGTCTACACCACCTCCGATGACTTCCGCCGCCACTGACCGTCGTTCACCAGTGCCTCCTCTTAAACGTCGTGATCGTCCTCACTGTACACATTGTGGTCTCTCTGGTCATACTATCGAGCGCTGCTACAAGCTTCATGGCTTTTCCCCTGGGTATCGTACCAAGCCTCGCATTGCTACCACTCAGTGTGTGTCTGATTCTTTGCCTGTCTCTACTTCCGCTCCTTCACCCATGCCTGATTCACCTAAGATACTTCACTCTCTTTCTCCTACTCATTGACAGCAACTGATTCAATTACTCTCTTCTCAGCTCTCCTCTCATGACTCTCCCTCCAATTCTGCTCACACTTCTTGTGTCACAGGTATTGTTTCTGCCCTTCAATCATTGTTTGTCAATAAATGGATTGTTGATTCTGGTGCAACCAAACACATCTGCAATGATCTTTCTTTATTCACCTCTTATTCTTCTGTCACCAATACCTATGTCCTCCTTTCCAACCAAACTACAATCCTTGTTCTTTACACTAGTACTGTCCAGTTATCTTCTTCTCTTATTCTTACCAATGTCTTCCATGTTCCCCAATTTCATTTCAATCTGCTCTCTGTTAGTTCTCTTGTTCTTGACACCACAATCTGTGTGAACTTCTCACTCGGGTTTTTCCGTTCAGGATTCAAACCATCACAGGATTGGCACGGGTAATCATCTTCATGGTCTATTTCTTCTGGACACAGATCCTTTACCTTCTGCATCTCCTAATCTTTCACTTTGTAATACAGTGCCTGCCACTATTCGGCATCAAAGATTAGGTCATTTTCCTTCCAAAATACTAGTTACTCTTAAAGATAAATTGCCTATTGATTTGAAGCATTCTTCTGAATGTTTCATATGTCCCTTAGCTAAGCAAAGAAAGCTTCCTTTTGTATCTCACAATAATTTTGCTTCTAAAGCTTTTGATCTCATTCATTGTGATATTTGGGGTCCTTTTCATCAAACTTCGTATGATAACTATAGATATTTTGCAACAATTGTTGATGATTATAGCAGATTCACTTGGATTTGCGTGCTCACTCAAAAATCTGACATTCAACAACTTTTACCCAAATTTCTTACTTTGATTCACACACAATTTGGTGCCACAGTTAAAATGTTTCGGAGTGACAATGCTCCTGAGCTCAAATTCACTTCCCTTTTTCATGACTTAGGCATTATTCATCAATTTTCTTGTGTTCAAACTCCTCAACAAAATTCAGTTGTTGAAAGGAAACACCAACATTTACTCAATGTTGCTCGGGCTCTCTACTTTCAATCTAAAATACCCTTATCTTACTGGTCTGATTGTATCCTTACCTCTGCCTACCTTATAAATAGGCTTCCCTCCAAAATCTTGAAACACAAATCTCCCTTTGAACTTCTTTACTCTTCTGAGGTTGATTATTCCCTTCTCAAGGTCTTTGGTTGTCTGGTTTTTGCCTCCACACTTGCCTCATCTAGAACAAAATTTGAACCCAAAGCCAAAATCCGTGTCTTTCTTGGTTATCCACCAGGCATCAAAGGATATAAGCTTCTTGATCTTCAAACTCTCCAATCGTTCATTTCTAGATATGTTGTGTTTCATGAGTCTATTTTTCCTTTCCTTAATCCTACTACTTCATCTTCCAGTGACCCCTTTCCTGATCTTGTGTTTCCCACTTTTCCATCTATTCCTTCTTCCTTTACAGATTACTCTTTTCTCCCACCCAATGATGATGCTCCTCCTCCTATTGATTCTTCCTCTCCTTATGTTCCTCCTCCCATTCATTTTAGAAGATCTTCTAGACCTTCCAAGCCTCCCTCTCACCTTCAAGATTATGCATGCTCATCCCTTTTATATCCCATCTCTTCAGTTCTTGGTTACTCTTCCTTATCTAGCTCCTTCTCACCAAGCTTTTATCCATGCCTTAGACTCAGCTTTTGAACCCCAATTCTATCATCAAGCTGCCCATGAACCTCTCTGGATCAAGGCAATGGCAGAAGAGATTCAGGCCCTTGAGTTCAACAATACTTGGTCTTTGGTTCCTTTACCTGTTGACAAGAAGCCCATTGGTTGCAAATGGGTTTATAGAATCAAACGACATCCTAATGGCACCGTGGACAGATACAAGGCATGTCTTGTTGCCAAAGGTTTCACTCAACAAGAAGGAATTGACTATATTGACACATTCTCTCCGGTTGCTAAGATGGTCACTGTCAAAGCTCTCCTTACTCTTGTTGCTATCAAAAATTGGGGCTTATTTCAAATGGATGTCAGTAATGCCTTTCTTCATGGTGACTTGTTTGAGGAAGTTTATATGCACATTCCTCAAGGTTATTCTCCTTCTTCTTCCAAGTCTGAGTCTGCCCCGTTGGTTTGCCGATTGAACAAGAGTCTTTATGGCCTTAAGCAAGCTTCTCGTCAGTGGAACTGTAAGCTCACAGATGCTCTCCTTCACTATGGTTTCACTCAATCTAAATTTGACTACACCTTATTCACCAAAGGCTCCCATAATTCCTTGGTCATTATCTTAGTTTACGTGGATGATCTTATCTTGGCTGGTCCCAATCTTGCTGCTATTGATCGGGTCAAGGTCTATTTACACAGTCAGTTTAAAGTTAAGGATCTTGGTCCTCTGAAATGCTTTCTTGGCCTTGAAATTGCTCGTGCTTCTTCTGGCATTGTTGTTTCCCAACGTCAATACATTCTCAAACTCCTTGAAGACACCGGCTTTCTTGACTGTCAGCCCGTCTCTACTCCAATGGATCCCAGCTCTAAGCTCTCTCTCACCGATAGCGAGCTACTACCTGATCCTTCTCTTTACAGGCGCCTCATTGGGAGACTTCTTTACTTGAATATTACTCGTCCAGATATTACCTTCACTATACACAAATTGAGCCAATATGTCTCTGCTCCTCGTCTACCCGATCTTCATGCTGCTCGTTACATTCTCAAATATATCAAAACTGCCCCTGGTCTTGGTCTTTTTTAATCTTCTACATCCTCTCTTTCAATTGATTTTTGAGCTAGGGACGACGATTTTTTCCAACAAGAAATCGACAGCCTTTTTAAGTTTTTGTCTACTTACATACACTTTGTACTGTTGAATTCATGTCTCTGAAACAACTATTTTTTTTGCATCATAATTAATTCATTTTATTTAATTTTGATTTCTTTGGTTGTCCTGCTTGAGTTTTAAAAAACTCGTTAGCCACGTCATGGTCTTAATTAATTAGGCGTCTCAATGTCATGTTTACTGTTTTCGACAGCTCAATATCTTTATGTTTTTTCATAATTTGCTGATAACTTTTTATTTGATGTGTTTATAACTTGAAGTTCATTTTCGGCATTCAGCTTATCTAATAGGTTATTATGCGGCATAAAACAGCAATTAACATCTGAGATGGATTTTCGTATTTTTGACAAATACTTGAGTCCTTATTAATTCATGTGGTTATGGCAGAAAGTATTTGCTTTCGTTCTTGAACTCTACCTTCAAAAATATTTTGAACTGAGTTAGGACACTCTTCGTTGGGTCTTTTGTTCGTCGATATTTTTTAATGTTGTGTTCGTAAAGCAGAGGTCAGAGGAAAGATCAATAAATTGTAATAATATTATTTCATGAGGGGTAATTGTAATATTATTTTTGTTACTGAAAAATTAACCAGAGCGAAACGATATGACGTCGCAAAAAATTAACTGTTAAGAAATTTCGTCAACTGTTAGTTCGAGGGAGTTTGGTAATTATGAATACTTGAGGGGCATTTTGGCAATTCAACTTTAATTACATTTCTGTGTAATGTGCTAATAATATTCCTTTTACATGCCCAAAATTGATTCGATTTTACGCTTTCGTATTGCAGCGTGTTCTATACATAGACATACACCACGGCGATGGAGTTGAGGAGGCCTTTTACGTAACCAATAGAGTCATGACTGTCTCGTTCCGTAAATTCGGAGATTATTTTCCAGACACAGGTGACATATTAGACAATGGATACTGGGAGGAGAAATATTACGCGCTCAACGTACCGTTAGATGATGGAATCGACGACGAAAGTTATCAATCGTTATTTATGCCAATAATTAGTAAGGTGATGGAGGTTTATAGACCCGGAGCAGTTGTACAATGTGGGGCCGACTTACTTTCCGGTGATAGATTATGATGCTTTAGAGGGTGTTTGG